GAAAGAAAAGTGATTTTTGTGTAATGAACACAAAGTTCAATAATTTTTACGTAACAAAAAAAAGAAAAGTGACTTTTGTGTAACAAACACAAAAGTTCAATGACCATGAATAAAATTATCTCGTGCTTGTTTAAAGGAGGAAACTTATACCAAATGCAAAGTAATTTAGGAAGCAATCAACGTTACATATTCTTTTTATTTTTGTTAATACAAAGTTTTTTAAGGTATTATGAAAACGAGAAAAGTAAAAGAGTTACAAGATATTTAGCTTCGCTAGAAACTTTAGAAAGCAACATGTCGTTGCATTTAAAATTCACTCGAATCAAATCTTACATAGAGAATATGAAAATCGAAGCCCATTTAATATCAATACGATGATTGCTTTTTATTATATTTTTTTTTGGTGTGTGTGTGTGTGTTATTTTATTTGGAATCCTCTAAATTAAATGAAAAAACTAACAGAAAAGATGGATGAGGCCAGTTGTCCTTTGAATAAAAGTATCTGATCTCAAACAGGAGTAGGAAGAACAAAAATATTTGGTTTTGAATAGTTTCGTTCTAAGCTAATATTTGGAAACAACAAATTAAAGAACGAAGCAATAATTGAAATTTATTTTAGTAGGGGAATTTTTTTTAAAGGCAAAAATATTCTGTATTTGAAGACGAAAAACAAAACAAATATATGTAGATGATCAACAGTGGCATCTCCGATCCATTTGATTGCCTACCTACACTAGGCATACTACACATCTTGCAGATTGTGGGATAGCAAATTGTAAACATTTTTTTTTTTTTTACAGTTATATAGACTTTGAGTTAAATGGGGAAGAACTTAGTGAAATGAAATCCAAGTTTCTGAAATAGGAAACATTTTAGTTTCCAAATTTATCCAGAACACTATGGATGGTGGGAGTATGAACCAATTGATGCTTTGTGACAACTACCAATTGAAGTATTTTAGTCAAAAACTAAAGTGCAAATAGAGACAAGAGGGGTTGTTCAGACTACAACTCTAGGAATCGAAAAGAAAAAAAAAAAAAAAAGAACGTAACACAGTACGTCCAAAATAACCAATTATGCAAAGCTCTGAGAATATATTCAATCAATTAGTTCAACGCCAAATATTCAAATTTTGATAAAAGAGAAACATATATTCCAGTCAAATTATTCTCACGTGATGCACTAGCACCCAAAATTGTCAAGTAGGGGAGTTCTTAGATGCATCGAATACATAGAGTCAAAGACCTCTTTTAAAGAGAGGGGGTGGGGCGGATTTATAGTTTCTAATATTGGTTCAATTAAATTCGACATTTTTTGTTGCTTATATATAGACCTTGTGAGTTCGAATTTCTAAATTTTTCAAGTTATTGGATTCTGAATTAATATTTTGTCCATATTTAATGAATAAGACAAATATATGATTTGGACAAATATTAATGGATTCAATTGAAGCCGAAACATCTATTCTCCCTCTGCCTATGTTTAAAAGTATTAAAAAGATTTTGAACTCATAATTTCTTGAACTTAGAACTTGATCCTATAAATTAAGTTTAAATCATTGATCCGGCTCCGGAGGACAAACACAATCAGAGCGTTATCAAACACCCATATTTTGCAAGATTAAGGTGATATTAGCCCCGCTTTTCTTTTCCTTCCATAACGAATTTTCATATTTTCCAAATATTAGTTTGGTTGGTTTGAATAGTGAAGCAAGGAAGTTCGAAGAATAACAGGTGGTAGTGAAATACTTCGTTGAATATCTTCATGAGCTCCACCTAAAATGTACTATATATTTTCTTTAATCATATCAGCCTTGAAGATCCTGCCAAAAAAAAAAAAAAAACACCAAAACGATTAGTTTAAAATTCAGTAGAGATTACGATACTCTAACTGATTAATGCCTATGACTACTTAGAAGACTTGCAATAGAGTATCTTCTAAAATTATTATTTAACTTGTAGAGAAAAGGAATTCTGCTATTGTTTTTTCGAAGAGATTTCAATGTTTTTTTCCTAAAAGAAATTTTCTACTAGTACCTTTTAACAAATCAACCAATGATATTGTGCTTAACAAAATAGCCACACATAGGGGCTTGTGATTTCGATTCATAGCTAAGAAACCATTAATTATCCCTACCTTAGACCACCTGTATAATACGATGTCGCGGCTTCCCCACAATATTGACATAGCAACTGTTTAATTTTATGCTGTCCAATATTATATTTCTATCCATAGAAAAGTAAACTCGAGATGCATAGGTTCCCTATTTCTTCCTTGTTCGTCATTTTCTCCCTTTAAATATTTGAACAAGAAAACACATGACTACTAAAAGTATCATGTTTGTCAATGCCTCCACGATGAGTCTTGGTCCTTAAACTCGTTTACACCTTAATTAAAAGAAATGTAAGTATTAGTGAGCAGGTACAATTGGGTACTAATTATAAAGAGACCAGGCTGATGATCATTAAAATTTAGAATCTTAAAAAGGGAAGGACCACCAACTACACCGATCATATATTATATACCTTGTTGACTAATATAAAAAGCAGCTGCAACTTGTAAGGAATCTCCAGGAACTTCTACGCCCCCAACTAATAATACTTACGTACTACGGTACTAGTATAATATATATCCACGTCAATTCATCTACAAATATATATATATATATATATATAACGAATTGACGTGGATATTAGTGTAACCACATCTTGCTACTAAACCAGTTTAATTAATAACTATAATAAATTAGAGGAGAATCATATCGAGTACGATAAAAGCTTGTTGTTGGCTTTCCAACATCATTATTCATTAATTTAGATAGCCTGAAATTTCAGTGATGACTCCGTCTTCGCATCTAATCTATTTTTATGCCATTCTGGGTTCGGAAATATTGCAACAATCGTAGTATTTGATTTCAAATGATATGAGTATACAATATTTATGGATCCTCTGATTCTTCTTTCAAATAGTAAATATATTCAAGGGCCTTTGAGCTGGATCTTGAATAAGTAGTTGTTGCCACGAACGATGATCTTGAATTCACTAGCACGAACTTTGATTTGAACTCGTACTCCTTGAATCTTGATTTGTTCTTTGTTCTTGTCTTCTTGAGCTTGAACTTGATTGCTTGAAGCTTCAAACTTGTCGAGAAATTTGCGGCATTTGATCCAACGAACTCTCTCTTGCTTCTTGTTATAACTTATGGTGTCTTTCCTGAGTTATGAAGACCCCTATTTATAGTTGTGGGAAGGAAGAGTTATGATAAGAACAAACTATTTCCGTGAAGTGTGACAAAGCCGCATTTGATTGGCCAGAACATGTCACTTGCACACGTGGCGCAGTTTCACTGGCCTTTTAACGGGACTTGGCATGCCTAGTCATTTTGACACGTGATATGATCCTATTAGCTCTTCTGTTTGACTTGGCGTGTAATGTCATTGACACGTGGCACCAAACTGGGCCTCTAGGAAGATGGCATCTTGGGCTTAATGATGTGGGCTCATCACCTTTAGCATAATGAACTTGGACAAATTTATTAAGTCCATCTGTATCGGACTTATATAATTAATCCAATTACATTAGCCCATAATACTTATTTGGACTAATATATCTTTTTTAAAATGTAATACAAATAACTATGAATTTAAATCTAATAAAATTTAGATGCCTACACTATCCATTACAATTTATGTGCTTGCACTTTTTTTGGTTTGTTATTAATTAAAATAATGTCATATTTCTACATTTATAAGTTTTTAGGTCCAATATATTTATTTTACCTTTAATTACACTTTCTTATAACAATGACATGATGCTTAAGATACAAAATTCGGCGAGTAATGCTGGTAATATGCTACATACACCATTAGTCTAAGATAGTAAGAGTGAAGAATTTTTCAGTCAAATTAAGATACATAAAATAAAGAGTCTTCTTTCTTGAGTTTTTTTTTTTTTTTTATCGAATAAGTTCAGTTGAGGCTTCCTTCTCCCTCTAACATATGTCCAATAATGACCTAAGCGCTAACGAATCTTACATTCGAAAAGTTGACTCTCTCATTGGCTATATATTTCATTAACAAAAGATTTCCAATTGCCTTTATAATATTTCCAACATTGCAGGACCTTAAATCTTATGTCATCAATTATCGATTGGCTTCGCTGATGCCAATCAAGCGTAATTTTTTAATGAGGCTTTGGCTGTACATGTTTGATCATTTAGAAGTTATTCGATAATTTTCTCTAGTGCAATGGCGGCTGTAAATAATTAAATGCTCTCTCCCTTTCAATTTCATATTAGTTTGGTTTAAAAAAATAACATATTTTAATATTTGGAATAATTTTTAATTTAAAGTTTCATTTTACGTGTATTAAGAAATTATTATAGTCACAAAATGTTATGATATATTTAAGGTTACGAATTTCATAAATTCTATAGCCACACAAATACTATTTTATTGCATATTTAAGATCAAAAGTGTAGCTTTATAGCTTGATTACTGCTCATTTCATTAGCGCCTAATTTTTTTTAATTTGGTTTTCCACCCGGTGTCCGGTACTGTATTGGAGCCCGATTATATTAGGATTCGCGACGAGTCCCCATCGGAGGAAGCGTTCCCTACCAAGAATTTTTCCATGCCCAGAGCTCGAACCCGAGACCTCTGGTTAAGGAAAGAATAGCTCCATCCGCTGTACCACATCCTTTGGTGGTAGCGCCTAATGTAGCTTTGCTGTTTCCATGCACCTTCGTCAATCGTCATGCATTCGTGCGGAGCTCCTCAATATTCCCTTCATTTTCCTATATTTCTTTACAATTCCGAATTGTTATTACCTAATCATTGTGTTAATTCAGCATCAATACACGTAGTATTATCCATTAACAATATTCGCACATCACGTGGCAAATATTCTACTAGTACTAATTTAAAAATATTTTTTTCAGTTACATATGGGTTTCTATTCCCAAGTATTGTTCAAGCTTTTGCCTATATAAAGCCATCCAATGCCTCGTATCTCATACCCCAAAAACCAAATCAAAGTTTCTTCCTCAGTTCTTCTATCTCTCAGATACAAAAAATGACGACAGGCAGAGAGAGCCTTTGGGTTTTCGCTTTAGCTTCAAATTGCAAATATTTCACGTCCCCAATCAACTCCATATACTTTGCACTTGTTTTTCTTCTTGTCTGGTTAGTCATGAACATGATTTACTGGACTCACCCTGGGGGTCCAGCTTGGGGTAAATACAAATGGAGAAATTATTTGGTAGCACCAAAGCCAATACCAGGCCCAAGAGGTTTTCCTCTTATAGGAAGCATGAACCTTATGACTGGTTTAGCACACCAAAAAATAGCAGCCGTAGCAAAATCATGCCAAGCCAAGCATCTCATGTCCTTCAGCCTAGGTGAAACCAGAGTTATTGTAACGTGTAATCCAATGGTAGCAAAGGAAATACTGAACAGTTCAGTGTTTGTTGACCGTCCAGTAAACGAGTCAGCTTACAGACTAATGTTCAACAGAGCTATTGGTTTTGCTTCTTATGGTGTCTACTGGCGAACACTTAGAAAAATTTCAGCCACGCACTTGTTTTGTCCTAAACAAATCAAAGCCTCTGAGGCGCAAAGGTGCGAAATTGCGAAACAGGTGATCGATATTTTCAAAGCTGGCGGTTCCCGTGACAATATACGGGTTAGGGATGTTCTGAAAAAGGCTTCTGTAAACAATATGATGTGTTCTGTTTTTGGCCGCAACTACAGTCTCCTCGATGATTGTAACGAAGAGCTGAGCGAGTTAGTAGATGAAGGTTATGAGCTTTTGGGAATGCTCAATTGGTCGGATCACCTCCCTTGGTTAGCTGAATTTGACCCGCAGAAAATACAGGTCAGGTGCTCACGGCTCATGCCTAAAGTAAACCAGTTTGTGGGCAAGATCATCGACGAGCACCGGGCTCAACCTAGCAATGGTAACCGTGATTTTGTGGATGTTTTGCTCTCACTTCCGGACTCCGAAAGATTATCAGACTCTGATATGATTGCCGTACTCTGGGTAAGCAACCATATATACATATATATATATATATATATATATATATATATATATATATATATATATATATATATATAACATAACCAATCAATTTTACTCTCCCTGAGCGAGTAGTCACTAGTCAGTCCATTTCTTTGCTTTCTTAATTTATAGTATGTTTGGCCAAGCTTCTAAAATTAATTTTGGTGAGAAGCAGGTTGTGTTTAGCTAATTAATTGAAAAGTACTTAAAAGTACTTTTAAAAGCGGTGATTAATGTTTGACTGAGCTTCTAAAAAGCACTTTTAAGTGTATTTTTCTCAAAAGTGTTTTCCAAAAAAGTGATTTCGGTGAAAAGCTACTTTTTTCAGCTTTTCCAAAACTACTTTTGTTTCTACTCAAAAACACTTTTTTTTCCTTTTAAAAGCTTGGCCAAACACTTCAACTTTAAAACAATACTACTACTTTTTTTTGGAAAAAAGAAATACTTTCGATCATGGAGAAGCTTGGCCAAACAGGCTGTCAGTGTGAAGCAACTGCTTTCTCTTCTTCCTTTCATTTTTAAGGGGGAATTATTGGATTCTTACAAAAACTCGTAGAAATGAATTTCGAAAAAATAATTCAATCATCATTCGTTTTTGCACTTGCAATTCTCTCTCTCCCTTCCTAATTTCATGTTGTTACATGATCCGTAGGAGATGATATTTAGAGGGAGTGACACGGTGGCAGTATTAATAGAGTGGATATTAGCACGGATGGTACTTCATCCTGATGTTCAGTCAAAGGTACAAGAGGAGTTGGACAGGATTGTTGGAAGATCATGTCGTCCAATCATGGAGTCCGATGTAATGAACATGGTTTATCTGCCAGCCGTAGTCAAAGAAGTACTTAGATTGCACCCTCCGGGCCCACTGTTGTCATGGGCCCGCCTAGCAATAAAGCACGTGATAGTGGACGGGTATCACGTGCCTGCAGGCACTACGGCCATGGTGAACATGTGGGCCATCACGAGGAGTGAAGAGGTTTGGACGGATCCACTTGAATTTAAGCCCGAGAGGTTCATGAACGAGGCCGAGTCCGAGCTTGTGGATTTCTCGGTGTTGGGGTCTGACTTGAGACTGGCTCCATTTGGTTCTGGAAGGCGAACCTGTCCAGGAAAGACACTTGGCTTGACCACTGTCACTTTTTGGGTAGCATCGTTTTTGCAAGAGTTTCAACTTGGGCCTACTGATGAAGCTGAAACTGTTGACTTGTCTGAGGTACTAAGGCTTTCCTGTGAAATGGTCAACCCGCTCACAGTGAGGGCGCGGCCAAGACGCACTCCATGAAGATCGAGCACTCGCCAAGAAATGTAACGAAACCTTGTAGGTTATCTGGAATATTTTGTGTTTTAAGTACTACTATATTGTAGTGCTACTTTAAATAAAATTATACTTTAATTGTTACTAGTACTTTATATTATGTAGTAACAATTAATCTTATTCGGAGCACGGATGTACAGATGATGGTTAAATCAATATAAGTTTCAACTAAGACATACTTATATTCTTTCTCCATTTCATGTGTGGTCCATTCTTGTGGTGTACAAGTATATATATATTGAAGGTTTTTCTTTTGAATTTATTTATTCTTTGATAACTAATTTTTTTAAAAAAAGGAGGTAAAGATAATGTTACGACCCGGATTTCCCACCCTCGGGAGTCGTGATGGCGCCTACTCGTGAAACCTAGGCAAGCCAACTATTACGGTTCTACACAATAACAATCAACCCAAACAATTATAAGCAGAAACTAAAGTTAAACAGGTGATAAGTGCGGAAGAGTTAAAATAAATCCAAATACTCCAATACATGTCTACCCACGAATCTGGTGTCACAAATTCACGAACGTCTAAGATTTTTACTACAAATAAAAGTCTGGAAAGAAAGGTACAACTGTTCTCGGAATGAAAAGAGATAGCAGAAAAGCTAAATAGGGAAGGGGGACTTTAGGCTCTGCGGACGCCAGCAGATCTACCTTGGTCTCCCTGGACTGAAGGCAGCTACCTCAGCTACTCACTGGGTCCGGTACCGAAATCTGCACAAAAGAGTGCAGAGTGTAGCATCAGTACAACCGACCCCATGTACTGAGTAAGTGTCGAGCCTAACCTCGGCGAAGTAGTGACGAGGCTAGGACACGACAATCATATATACCTGTCCAGATAAATCATATACAAACAGAAGCATAATAACAGAAATCAACAGAATAAGGTGGGAAGGGGGCATGCTGCGGGGAATATCAGATTCTAACAATAAACCAATAAGGAAGCATCAATAAGGAAGCATAATGAATATCATATCCAAATCAACAAGAATAGTGAAGCGGTAACATGTGCACGGCATCACCCTTCGTGCTTTTACTCTCGTCCTCACCATATGAATCAACAGAAACGGCACGGCATCACCCTTCGTGCATTACCTCTCATAATCATGGCACGACATCACCCTTCGTGCATTATTCCTCACAATATCGGCACGGCATCACCCTTCGTGCATTAACTCTCAAATCATGGCACGGCACTACCCTTCGTGCATTAACACTCATAATATCGGCACGGCATCACCATTCGTTCTTTACACTCTCTCACAATATCATGCACGGCATCACCCTTCGTGCTTTACACTCTTCCTCACCCAAACAACAGAAAACAATATGTCCCGGCAAAGGAATCAACAATATCAACAATAATATCCCGGTAAGGGAATCAACAATATCAACAAACGTCCTGGCAAGGGATTCAGCTATAACCAATCTCGTTTCAACAATCTCTTTACAAAATGAAACTTCAATTTGAGTCAACACTCAACAATAGTCAATTACCAAGAAACTTTCATAAGCTTTGTTCAACATTAATAATCATCAATTTGAGCATGATCGATACATAATAGAGTCACAACAATCATGGTATAAGACTCACGGGCATGCTTGACACCAACGTATAGATACTCGTCACCACACCTATACGTCGTACTCGATACAAACACATAGCAAATAGACCACAACTTTTATTCCCTCAAGTTAAGGTTAAGCCAAACACTTACCTCGATTCCATGGACAAATTAAGCCTCTACTACCGCTTTACCTCTCGGTTCCACTTCCAATTCGCTTGTATCTAGCCACAAATTACTAAACGATATCAATAAATTCTAAATAAACCAATTCAAATGCATGAAAATAGATTTTTCCATTGTTTTCCCCAAAAAGTCAAAAATTGACCCCGGGCCCGCTTGGTCAAAACCCTAAGTTCGAACCAAAACCCGATCGCCCATTCACTCATGAACTCAAATATGTAATTAGTTTCGAAATCGGACCTCAAATCGAGGTCCAAATCCCCAAAATTTGAAAATCCAAACTTCTACCCAAAAACACCCAATTTCCCATGAAAAAACCCTAGATTTTGAAGTGAAATCATGTAAAAAGATGTTATAGATTGATGAAAGTAAGTTAGAAGTTGTTTCCCTATGATTTGGGGAAGAATCTCTCTTTGGAAAATCGCCTATGTGATGTTTAGGTTTTGAAAAGTTGTAAAAATGAAGAAGAATCCCGTCTGAAATCTCATTTAGCAGGTGCAGTTATCGCAATTGCGAACCTTCGGAAGTCTGCTACCTTCGCATTTGCGAAGGATATGTCGCATTTGCGACTCCTGACTTCTTCGCATTTGCGACCAAAGTGTCACATTTGCGAGAATGGCCTGCCCAGGCTTGGTTTGCAATTGCGACGCCTGGGTCGCATTTCCCAAGCCTGAGAACTTCGCATTTGCGAAGCCTGATCTCGTAATTGCGGGATCAGAGGCCTGTTACACAGCTGCAACATACCAGCAATTCTCCTAAGTCCAAATTCACTTTGTGGCCTATCCAAAAGTCACCCGAGCCCTTGTGGCTCCAAACCAAACATGCACGCAAGTCTAAAAATATCATACGGACTTGCTCATGCGATCAAATCATCAAAATAACATCAACAACTACGAATTTAACCTCAAATTCCTGAAATCACCCAAGAACATTGAAATTTCCATTTTCTCAACTATAGGTTCGATTTATAACAAACCAATTCCAATTCTTACCAAATTTCACAGATTAGACTTATTTTTTATTTTAAACTTGTACCGAGCTCCGGAACCAAGATACGGGCCCGATACCATCAAGAAAATGCATCATTTCACTTCTAGAAACCTTTATATTTTCCAGCAAACAATTTTCTTTAAAAATTCTTTTCTCGTGCTTGGGACCTCGGAATTCGATTCCGGGCATACGCCCAAGTCCCATATTTTACTACGGACCCTACGGGACCGTCCGATCAAGGGTCCGGGTCCGTTTACCAAGAATGTTGATCAAAGTCAACTTTAACCAATTTTGAAGACCAAATTCATTATTTTTCTAAAATTTCACATAAAAGTTTTCCGAAATAGCGCACGCAAATCGAGGTGAGCTAAAAAGAGGTTTTCAAGGCCTCGGGACGCAGATTTGACTTCTAAAACAAAAGATGACCTTTAGGGTCATCACATTCTCCACCTCTAAAACAACCGTTCGTCTTCGAACGGACATAGAAAAGTACCTGAGTCAGTGAAAAGATGAGGATATCGGCTCCGCATATCGAACTCGAACTCCCAGGTCGCTGCCTCAACAGGCTGACCTCTCCACTGCACACGAACTGAAAGAAAATTCTTCGATCTCAACTGAGGAACCTGCCGGTCTAGAATAGCTACCAGCTCCTCCTCATAGGTCAAGTACTTGTCCAACTAGACAGTGCTGAAGTCTAACACGTGGGATGGATCGCCGTGATACTTCCGAAGCATGGTGATCCCGCCCAACTATGCCTTATAAAAAGGACACGCGAACGTTGCAAATATAATCTGAGTATTTAGCCCAGAGTCGAACCCACAAGGAATTAACCTATCAATTACTCTCGTTAGGCTTGCTAAATTCCACGGAATCAACTTCCCAAACGTTGTAAATAACAAAATTGATGGTATTTCTACTAACTATGAATGAAAGTAAATAAGCAGCTGAAAACTAACTATGATTAAGTTGTAAGCAATTAAGAGAAGGTTCTAAGGCTATGATTTCCCCTATTGATGGAATCCCTTCCGGTTATGCTTCACATAGATTTTCCTAATCAACTCTATCAATCATGAGCACTATTATTACCGTAAATCTCTCTCGAGTTATCACAATAATTTACTAGACGCACTCCCCCGAGATACGCTAGCTGGCTTTGTTTATTACAACTCACTTTAGATCACACCCAAGGCTTCGTTATCCCTAATCCCGCCTTTAAACTCTCGGTTATTGATCCCTCATATACTTTGGGAGTGGTGGTGTTCAACAATTACATAAATATGCACTCTCTCCCGAGTTATGCGCACTAAATAGGCACAGCTAATTGAGGATCCTGTCAATTAACTACAATAAGAACATAATTGAACAAATAGAAATTAAACCGGGCAAACTATATTAACATAACAAGAAGTTCATCCTTCAATAGGTTCCATCAAAACCCTAGACTAGGAAATTAGCTACTCATAACAAAATAAGATAAAACTACTAAATTATTCATAATGGGTAATAGAAATAATCAAAAGAAGATAGAAGAATTGTAATATTTTGTTACTCTTGTCACACTTGTTCTTTCCTCCAAAGTAATCTAAAACAAGCTTCAAAAAAACAATCTTGGGCGAGTTCCTAAAGTTTATAAGGGTTTGGCACAAGTTTTCTCGAATTTACACTTTGGTCCCAAAATTCCTGGCGCGTGAACAGTTCACCGCGGTCGCAGCAAGACCACGGCTCGACCGCAGTGACCGCTAAACATTCTGCCGTGAGTATTTGATCCGCCGCGGTTCCACCGCGCTCGCGGTAGATTTTTACTCAGTCCAGTTTTGCTTCTTTGTGCTCGGGTACTTCTTGATTGGGCGTTTTCTTCACATTATTGCCTCCAAAATACTCCGTAGTGCTTCCTCACTTAGAATATTCCCTGCGAAACAAAAGAACACCATTTAGAGCATTTTGTTATCAATTTGCCTATAAAACAACAATAAAGCATGTTAATATTAAGGTGTAAATATCATCTATATAGCCTAATATCAACACCCCACACTTAAATCATTGCTAGTCCTCTAGCAATCCACCACACTCTATCAAAGTTCCTTCCCTAAGCTTTTCCCTTAACGACTCACACCTTGAACAATTTACAAAAGTTGCACCTAGTAGTGAACAACCTTTACCTCAAAAGTCGAATCTCTCGTTCCATGCAACATTCGCACTTACTCAAACTACTCTATACAAGAGTCAAGACTTACCTTTCCTTTGTGAATCAAGTGCCCTCACAAGCAAAAGAGAGTAGTTCCACACAATAAAATTTAAGAACACTTAGGAACTCAAGATAGAAAGAATTCACTCACTCTCAGAAATAATATTCATATGCCACAAAGATGCACCATAGGCTTGTCCGTAGTGTAATACTCTACTAATCGAGCCTATCCAGTCTAAGATCAATTAGGACTTC